TTTCTAAATGTCAGTCAAACGGCTTTAGCGTCATTTTGGTTTGATTACACATTTTCCGAGGGATGTAATTTTCATATTGGGGAGGGGGATGTCATTTAGTGTCCCAGGCCCTTATGCACATATTGCAAATGGTTTCAATTATTACCAACAAAACATTTTTATTTTTTTTCCATTTTTGATGTTGCCTTGGCTGCAAATCACTAACACTGCCTCAAAATGTTTACCAAATACAGTAGTGAATTTAAATCCAACCACGGTTGGAGCTGTGACCCCCGTTGGCTGTCAAGAGGCCTGTTTGCACTGTGAAAGCTCCCAGCTGTCACCGAAACCCCGGGGCTATGGGGGGTAGAGTATGGAATATAATAGGAGAGGAAGAGTAGAGATAGAAGAGATGGATGAGGTTTAAGAGTTTAGGAACTGAGCAGAGAAAAGTTTAAGCAATTATTTACTATAATGAAGAATTTAATGAGTGTTTAATGTGACTAGAAAGTGAGAAAAATACATTAAATAAAATAGACCGGGAGATAATGGACTTTTGAGTTTGTTAGATTTAGGATCTCAAAGAGACAGAGTGTATTAATATTTACAGTGTTGATCTGAGGTTTCTGTGTGTGTGGGAGAGACGGAGAGAGGATGAACGGGTGTTTTATCGTGTAGTACTACTCCGCAGTCAGTAGTGCTGGTCCTCCCAAGGTCACGCTTGGTGCTGGAATGAAAGCTATTTCCTCCCTCACTCTGACCAAGTGTGAGCCGGAGCAATGTCTGGAATCTCTGCTGCTTTCCAAAAACTCTGCTGCACAACTGATTAGCCTGACCAGATTTCATTATTTTCTTCAAGTGAACATCATGCCCATTTCATTTACACACGCCATCTTCTGAATGGCGCTTTGTTCCCGAGGGTTTCTGCTCCAATTAAATCTTAGAAAAAATGAGTCTGTAGGCCAGAATACTGTTGAGTGCAGCACCTACAGGCGACGGTGCAACTAATGATTACATCTGAGTTACAATGAAGGTTGTGCTGAAGCCGGAGAGTACTTTTTGCTGTTGTTGAATTCCAATTTCTCAGCTATGCACCATCGATTTTGTATTGATGTGTAAGTGCAATGTCCTCCAGGCAAATCCTATTATGGAAAGTTAATGTTTTACTAGCTCACAAAAGGCATTGTGAAAAGGATTTGTGTTTCACCTTATTGGTCTTACTGTGCTGCTTCATGAGATCAGGTTTCATGCTGCAAATCTGATGATGAAGATAAGAAGACAGTGCATTGAGTGATGGAGCTTTGCTTCTCTCCAGCTTCTGAGTGCTGCTGCAAAAATGCCCTTTATCATCCCTCAAACAGTGAAAGCACATGTGAAGTGATTTTTTTTTCACACAATAAGGTTCAATTGAGGGAAGTTGTCAGTACTACAACATGCTATAAGCAAAACCAGGGCAGGAAACCCGGGTTTGACACATTTACCTAACACTGGAAGCCTTAATCAGAAAATACAGGCACTTTCAGTTTCAAGTTCCTCAATGAGGATAATGGGAGGTTTAAGCCTGTGAATTTCTCGCTGCAGGACAAACTCTGTATCCTAAAACCACATGCAACCAAAACTAAAACAATATGTAACCACCACATCCAACCAAAAATACTACCACTGGTGCAAATACCGAGTTGAATTCCTACATGTATTCACTAACATATTCCATGGTTACAGTAACATGGCTCTGTGTATAGGCTCCCACGCTCTGCTCTACTGCTGTGTGATAGATACAGGAGGAAATATGTGCATGCTGGTTTAAAAATAGCTCCTAAGTATGTTGTGGTACTCTCAGAGTATTCTCCTCAAACTCTAAACGCTGATGTTTCAAAATATAACATAGACTGAATACATATACATCATTTCTGTTCTCTAAATACAGATTCTGAGTACTTGTTTCCAACCCTGAACACAGCAGCACACTGAAGCATGAACCAGAAATGCATGTAAGCACTGTGTACATTATTTCCCCATGCATGCACTCTGGCTCACTCTTCCTGAGAGTTGGCGGAAAAAAAAAAACGCCTAATTTGCAAACCTGATAAGAGTTTACTTTCTATGGCAGCATTTCACACGAGGAAGAGGAAGATCATCCATCTACATTTATCCAAGGAGGTTTATTCAATGCTTTTTTTCAGTACCTCCCTACTTCTTATTTATATCATTCAAGCTGTTCTACTTATTCACTCCTGGGAGATAACTAGTACAACACGGGACTCACATTCTGGTCACTGAGCGGATATAAGCAAAAAAACAACAACTAGAAACTGGCCAAATGTAGATGACGTGACACACACAACACATTTCCACGCAACGATGATTTTTTATCATCTATAAAAAATGTTGCTGTGTAAAACATGGATGCTATATGTCTTAAATCAGAAGACACTGGTGTCCCGCTTATCGATTTTGCACTAATTCTTAACAGTTATGCAAGTAGAAATCAATCGATTACAAAAGAGAAAGACGCACAAATGTCTCTAATAACAGGAGACTTGCAACCACAAGACATGGTTTGAGGGGTTTAATAAACCAGAAAATTGAAGAGAAGAAGAAGATTGTCAAAAGGGCTGCATGATATGGTATTAAAAAAATCATATTGTAATTATTTTGACAGATATTGCAATATGATTCGCGATTAGTGGGAATGATCATTTCGCATCACAAATTTATTTGAAAAAACTACTAAACTCATGATGATGTGACATTTGTTTAGGTCTGTTTTCTTACATCCGGAGAACCAGGGTACACTACTTCATTGTAATGCTGCTTTATCACATATTTAACCTTTATCAAAATAATCACAGCTTCAGCTATTTGGATATTGCACTTGGCCATATTGCGATTTCAATAATATTTTGATTAATTGTGCAGCCTAAAGGCATTCTGGGAAACATGAACTCACCAACTGAAGTAGAAGAAAACAGGTCAATTACATTGACAGTATACATAAATTACACATCGTTACAAAAACACAACTGGAAAACACTGAAAATCAGAGATTAATGATACGAACTGTTAGTATGAGCAGGCATCCAGCAGGCATTTTTTTTATTTAATTCATTTCACTCATACGCCATGTAATCATAGCTGCTGAGGGAAAAGTGTTACTCAGTTTTCCTGCCCAGATTTTCCAAACTAATTTGTGGGTTTGGAGCAGCCAAACTTCTGTCCACAAGTCTGATTCGCAGGGATCTTTGGGATTTAAATATGGTGGAGTCCGTAGAATGCTGATTTTGAAATGACTGGTTTAATGATTTGACTCCTTTCTCATGATGTTAGCCCAGGAAAGTGGAAAACAGTCTCAAACCGAGGGAATGCCAACTGTTTATCATTCTGGAGGTCTGAGTCGCAATAAAGGTTTTAGGAGGAATATTTTGAGATGACCGAGGTGGCTGCTTATGTGGGATGTCAGCCTGCACATCTCAGATGGAAACAAGTCAGGAATGAGTGATGAGCACAGTCAGCGTCAGCAGAAACAGGCATAACTCTGCACTCATCTCATCTACAGTGTTTCAGAGGGCTGTCAGAATTTTGCATGTCAATGACACCCAATTACCTACACTGCCTTATATGTTCCTCTGAATCTGCTTCTGCCTGTCTCTCAGATGTCTTGGTTCTCAGTCAGTCAGTGATCTGGAATGATTAACCCTTCAGTTCCCCTGAAAGGAGAAACAAATCGAGGCAGAGTGCAGTGGAGGAAATAGTAAAGGAAAACGAATAAATTCAACTCCCATCGACCACTGCTCTTGCTAAATCTGAGCAAAGGACCACCAGTGGGGTCTATCTGCCTTGGTAAATGCCACTTATCCTCCTGTGAAGCCTGGCAGCACTCTCACGGTAATGGTTTAATCTGATGAGCTGATCCAATAAAATATCCTGTAGTAAGGTTGAAGATGGGGCTTACTTTTACTCAGTTATTGACAGATTGTCAGATTTTAAGCACTGGCTGTCTCTCATGACACAGATCCTGCTGCCTCATAAGAATTGCTGTACCTCCCTACCCACCTGTCTATTGACTTGTATCACTATCAGTGACATTTTGATGGTTTTTGAGCAATGAAATATCACATTTTTGTTGCATATTTGTAAATTAGGATTCTATTTCATGCAACATATGCTACATAATAGATATAATCCAGAGCTTCGAACTGCATGCTCAGAGGTTTTATGTTCTAGACTGCCCCGTTTCTTTCAAATAAGAGTCACTCTCAGTGGTCCACAGGGGCGAGCACTTACATTCATCATGAATATGTGAGAACTTAATTAAACAGGATGAAATACAAAAGGATACCTTCTGATTTTAAATTAAGGGATATTCTGAACATTTGATGGCACATTTTTTTTGTACTCCGCTTTCTACCTGCCTACCTCATCTGTCATCCCAATTACTGCCTGTTTCCAAAGAGTCAGCAAACGTCAAGAAAGTGCGTAATAATAAAACCAAAACAACCAAATCTTCAAAAGCAATAAGGTGAAAAACAGCTGTGAATCATGACCTCCCACAGCAGGAATTAGCTCTATAGCAGATAGACAGCTGCGCCGGGTATTTCTTTTTTTCCCCCTCCATGCTCACTGTCACAGTTGTCATAGCAACTGCATCAGTCTGGAACAGAAACATTATGGGATGCAGATGAAGCAGGACCTCATCTGTGCCCAGGAGCAACAGCACATCTTTTGTTTTAGATTTCATAACTGACAACAACTGAGGAAATGCTGGAAGATACGGCCAAGCAAGCCTGCAGGTTTAAAAATATACAGCAGGGGAAAAAAATGACCTTTTTCCAATACAAGATTTCTGAGTTCTCTGAGGGATATTGCAGTTGTGTAGGTGTTTCAAAACAACAAGAAATTATGCTAATAAAAGATTATTCTACACTGCCTCTCACTATGAAGATTATTTTCTCTCCATGTTACTTCTCCATCGCCACTTTTGTTTTGCCTATCTGACACTTTTCTTCTGTGTGTGTGTGTAGGCATCAGACCACCCATCATGAATGGGCCCATGCACCCGCGACCCCTGGTGGCGCTGCTGGACGGCCGCGACTGCACTGTGGAGATGCCCATCCTGAAAGACGTAGCGACCGTGGCCTTCTGTGACGCTCAGTCCACACAGGAGATCCACGAGAAGGTAACGCACTTAACTAGGTCATGTACTAATGATTCAAAATTTTAAATAAATCATACTAACCAACAAAAGGTAAGGGTTTAAGAAAGAAGTTTCATAAAGCTTTTACATTTGCTGTAACAGATTATATAAATATAGTCTTTATTAAACACCTTGTGCTGGAAACAGGAAGTGAGTATTTTTTATATTTTAGAGAGCAGTTTGCATTAAATAGAACTGTGTTAACATGAACAGCAGCGGTCATCGTGGCTGTATATACAATATACAAAGAAAAAATAACCACACCACAACTGGAAACTCCAACTTCAAAATCTTAAGCTGATACACAAAAAACAGCAATCACAGGGGTCTGATGGTGTATTTCAATCATGTGTCGTCTTCTATTAGAAATTCTATTAATTGGCGCCCGGTTAGCTCAGTGGGTAGAGCTGGCGACCCATGTACCGAGCCTGAGTCCTTGCTGCAGCGGCCCAGGGTTGAA